ATGTACAGACTGGGGGACAAGATGCTGGAGAGTAGCTGGGCAGAAAGGGATCTGGGAGTTCTGGTTCTGGTAAGTTAACTATGAGTCGACAGTGTGCCCTGGCTGCCAAGAGGGCCAACTGTTCCCTGAGTTGCATCAGGCATGGGTGGGTAAAGGAAAGGGATTGTGCCACTCTGCTCTGTGCTGGAGCGGCCTAATCTCAAGTGCTGTGTGCAGTTTTGGACACCACAGTATAAGAAAGATATAAAACTGTTGGAGAGAGTCCAAAGGAGAGCAACAAAGATGGTGAAGGGTCTAGAGGGCAAGAGGTATGAGGTCCCTGGGTTTGTTCAGCCCAGAGCAGAGCAGGCTGAGGGGAGGCCTCATGGCGGCCTGCAGCCCTCTCACAAGGGGAGCGGAGGGGCAGGTGCTGAGCTCTGCTCTCTGGGGACAGCGACAGGACCTGAGGGAATGGCATGGAGCTGGGACAGGGAAGGGTCAGGATGGGTGTTAGGGAAAGGTTCTGCACCCAGAGGGTGGTTGGGCACTGGGACAGGCTCCCCAGGGCACTGGTCACAGCACAGAGCCTGCCAGGGTTCAAGAAGCATTTAGACAATGCTCTCAGACATATAGTCTGGTTTTTGGGTGATCCTGCATGGAGCCAGGACTTGATGATCCTTCTGGGTCCCTTGCAACTTGGGATATTCTGTGATTCTGTGATAATCTTCTAAGATGGGCCTTTATGGTATGGCAGAACTTTGTTACATGAACGTGTACAGAACATAATCACCCAGTTCCAGTGCTTTTGTGTGTTTAGTTTTTATGGGACACATAGAAGTAGTGATTTGAACAGAAAAGAAGTGATCAACATCTGCTTCCATTCAAGTGCATTAAAAAAAATATAATCTGTCTAGCAATGCATTGTTAATGCAATGCATCAAATATAGCAATAATAAAAAATAGCAATGCATCAAATGCATTGTTAATGATTCATTAAATGTTCCAAAATAGAAAAATTCTTCAGTAGAACTCTTTTAAAAAATGTATTTCTGTTAGGAAAACTATCAGAAAGAAGGTCTTCTAGTTTGGATGTTTCAGCTATGACAAAATATAATTTTGGTTCTGATGCAAAATCAGAGGTAAATAGATGGGAAATTAAGTATTCTTGCGTGTTTCCTCTGCCTTGGGACATATGGCCAAAATACCAAGGGAGTGGTACTCGATTCAAATTAAATCTGTTTATTCTTGTAGGGCATAGTCCTCAGTCATCGTAGTAGTCCTTGAATAATAATAATAAAAATAAATTAACAGATTTTGATTTTGTGTTGGGAAGAACATTTCAAATGGCGGAAGGAAAAAGACATTCAATAATTTCTTATGTCAAGGTTCAGAAAAGCACAGATAAGCACTGAGTTGCATCACAGGCATGGGCAATATCAGTCTGCCTGCATTTTACCATCACTTGTGCCTTAAAAATTTCAAAGTAATCAGTGGTAGAGTTGTGTGTACTCTGTGTGTCCACACAGTGCTAGAAAATTAATGCTTTAAATATAGATGGCAAACAGGAATGCCAATTAGTGTCTGCTGTGCTGGTGATTTCTTGGGTAGGCTTCTGCCCACTGGAAATTGGACTGAAGTAACTAATTAATGTCACATAAGGCATAGAATATGTAAAATAGTACAACTTAGTCAATTTATCACAGATTTGCTGAACTGAGGTGAAAGCCTCCTTATCCCACTCCAATTTATTGAGTTGTTTAGCTCCTTGGCTATGAACATGTATCTTCTCTTGTCAAGTCCCTCAGGGAAGATTTTTCCCTCCTATTTTTGCATCATTACAAAAACTCTGAAAGGTTTCACAAGTTCTTTACAGATTTAAGAAGAATTTTTCACTTGGTTCTTTAAAGACACTCTCCAAGAACATTTGATCCAATTTCTTTTCAGTTCTCTTCCTTGATGTAGGGGAAAAAAAAAAACAACAACAACAAAAAAAACACACAGCTTACAAAGCTTCTACGTTTGTTTGGACTGAAGTGGTGATTCTGCAATATAGCACAATATTACAGGTTTCAGAGATGCCTGTAGGCTTGTTAATAGTGTGAAATGGGGGGTCTTTAACAGAAGAGTGTCAGTATCCATGAGATGCTTAACATTATATACCTTATATTTTCTGATAAATTATATGTGGATATGTAGAAAGAGTGCATAATTTACACTAAGGAAAATAATTTGGAATGCAAATGGTATTAATGAGGATATTTGTAAACAATTCAAAGAGTTCATGATTATTTATAAATACAATGGCTAGAAAATGTAGTTTTCTATCTTTTAAAAGTGGAGATGACAGAAAAACTAAAGCTTGTGTGAACAAAAGGGAAAGCAGTTTTAACCTAGGTCACCATTTTTGTCAGTTCTCCACTTTCCTGATCTCTCTGTGATCTGCCATTCCCAACAGTTTCACTTCAGGACTGATCTTGGCATTAGCCGCATCCCTGTTGTACACAGGCTGTGGCTACATAAAAATGTGTACTAACTTTCAAATATGCCTGAGAAACTGCATCTTAGGCAAATATCATTACCATTAGTGGGGAAAAAAATAAAAAAATCAATACTGAATATTTTTTTTTACATGTAACACCTGGGAAAAGTCAATCTATTTTTTAGATGCTGCTGATACCCTTAAAATTATGCTGTGTAATTAAAAATATGGGATGTAACTGACTGACTTAATCTTTGTTCTTAGTGACAAATTAGGAGGAAGCTTTACTTGCACCGTTGTGTTTTGTGTCTGGTTCATCATGAAGCCTTTCAGAAGCTGGATGAGTCAATCTTAGATATCCATTTTTAGTACTCTGAGAGATGGCAAAAAAAAAAAAATAAAAAAAGACACTATTAATAGTTTTACCTTATAATATTAAATTCAGTGAGATTTATTTAAAAGGAATGGGATGGAGTTGTGAATTTATGAACAATTCATGATATTTCTGAGAGGTCTGGCTTTGCTCAGCCTGAGAAAAAGAAGGCTGAGGGGGAGGATCTACTTGCTACCTTCTATTGTCTAGTGATTGCTTACAGCAAAACTGAACCTCTGCTTCTGAGGCGCACAGATAAGCAGGAACAGATACAAGTAACAGCAAGGGAAATTCTAGAATTCTAGTTTAAAAAACAAAACAAAAAACAAACAAACAAAAAAAAACACCACCAACAAAAAAAACATAATAACCAATAGTCCAAATTGAACAGGTTGTCCAGAAAAGCTAGGATCTTCATTCCTGGAAAATTTTGAAACTTCTTTAGATAAAGTGCTGAGGAACCTGGTTGAAGTTGCTAATTTGAAGTTGCCCTGCCTTGACATCTCTAGATGTCTTCTCCAACTGAAGTTATTCTGACTGCTGTAAAAATGACCTGGCTTTCGTCTTGAAGTATTAGTTTTTACTTGAAGTGTTTAGCTGATTTAAAAAATAAATAATTTTAACATAATTTTCCCTTAGATTTTGCACCAAAGTTCAGAAAGATGATACTTGCACAACTCTGTTTCTCTGTCAGGTGCTGAAGCCATATAAATATGACTCAGTGGACAGTGCTCAGTAAATCTAAATACTGAGCGTAAGTTAAATAAATCTTTTGGTATTTTGTACATAGCTTTTAATAAAATTAAAAATAACACCAATTTTCCAAAATTTCACCAAAAGAAATCTTTAGTAATATTAAACTGGTTAGCATTTATCTTATGTATTATGAGGTTAACATCTGAGTAATTTTAAAATAATTATTTTAAACTCCATGTTTTGGATAGTGGTCCATTTTATGAGATAGTTGTTATTTTTAATTTATAGCTCAGGTTTCTGCAAAGTTCCGAATGCCACTGTAAATTGATCACATTATTGCAAGACATGCAATCAAGCTCACAATTACTCAGTCAAGGATATTGGTGCTATGCTTATATTTAGACAAGCATTTGACGAAGCAATCAATGTGATACCATGCACAATTGATTGAAGTTGATCATGCCATAACTCATTTTTGCTTTGTGAAACAAATTTAGGGCAGACTAATGAAAAAAGGCCTTCTCCCCACCTGGAATATTTAGATCCCACTGAAAGCCCGATGTTCTTTTAGAAGCAATGAATAAAAGTGGCATTGATTCATTGCTTTTCTCAAAGTGCATGACAATAAATAAAGCTTGGAAAAATTTTTGATTGTGCCATAGTTGCTGGAGGTACGGATAACTATTGGAGACAGCAGGACACAGCTATTAACTCAAGAGCTTTGTGTTTATTTCAAGCAGGGCATTAAAATAATGATTTGGGTACTTGCAGAGTTTGCCTATCTTTATTTTTTATCCATGTCTGAAATATATTCGTGTGAAAAGTCTTCTTTCTGCAGGTTTGAAGTTTCTGACATCCAGGAAGGAAAACCCAGTAGTTTAACTATTGAGAAAGGGAGACGTAAAAGCTGTTGGAAACACTCTTCAGCAATATGAAGTGAATATTCATCTTCCTAAGAAACACTTCTCTTGAAGAAAACTCACGAGGTGCTGTCAAGGGCTGTTTACAGTTCCAGAAGTGGAGTGATTTAAACCAGACCTGGGGAGTGCTTTTGCCAGCGTCTCCCCCGCCAAATCTCGGAATCCCATCTACCAGCGCAGGTGACTTACAGCCTCCTTGATTAATGGTACCCCTCATTTTCTTCGCCAAGCAGCGCAATTAATCTCGGCCCGTCCCTAGGTGCGGGGAGCCCAAACAGCGGGCAAAACTCCTTTGGGATGATTTTGTCCCCCTCTTTTTGCGGGCCCTCTCCCTCCTCTCGCACCCCGTGGGGCGCTGCCTGGGGGGCACCAGTGGCCAAGGGGGCGGCGGGCAGGTGCCGTGCCGAGCCGATGCCGTGCCGTGCCGAGCCGAGCCGGGCGGAGGATCGGGTCCGGCCGCCGCTGCATTGCGGCTGGAGCCGGCGGCTCCCGGGGAGGGGCGGACGGCCGCGTGATGCCGCGGGGGGGCGGCTCCATGCCCGCGGAAGGCGGCGGGGGCGGCGGGGGGCACCGAGGGGCGCGGAGCCTCCGCTCCGCCCCGGGAGGGAGGGAGAGAGAGAGAAAGGGAGGGAGGCACCCGCCGCCCTGTCCCGGCCCCGGGAGCGGAGCGGTGAGTGCGGGCAGGGATGGGAATGAGAACAGGGATGGGGCGGGATGGGATATTGGGATTGGGATGGGGATGGGGATGGGGGGCAGCGGCGAGGTGCGGAGCCGCCTCTCACCTGCACCGTGCAGGGGCAGGGGGCCGGAAAGGGAAGGAGCCGGGAGTTGGCTCCGTATGGGATCAGCGCCGAGTGCTGCTGCTGGTGCTGCTGCTGCTGCTGCGAGTCGCGGCCCGTGATTTCTGTTCCGCGGAATTTGAAGTGACGATTTAAGCTTAAAGGCGGCCGCGGTTGCGCTCTCCTGGAGGGCGAAGTAAAAAAACAACGTGACGTGGAGCCACTTCTATAAACACCAAAGAATACGCTCGGCACAAGGAAACTGGCAAGAGGGTTTGCCAGGCTCTCCACAACCAAGCCTGCTTTTTAGGAGTGAAACTGTCAAGTTGCTTTGTTCAAGCAAATAGTTGTTGTCTGAAGGACGTGGGACAGCAATCTCATTTTTCAGATTACTCAGTGCGTGTCACAGGGCTGTAGTTGCCAGCAGAAATAGGGCCCAGGGCACTGCGCCTGGAGGAGCCGAGTGCTGCTACTTGCTTGGTCCGGGAGTGTTTTGTAACAGGCTCGGTGGGCTAGAAGTGTAGCAAGCAGGCATGTGGAAAGAGAGCAGCAGGGATGGGGACAGATGTGTTCCCTCCCCCCCCCACCCCCCCCACCCCCCCCCCCGAGATTTCTTCTGGAGCACTCTTAAACAACCAGAAGGGAAGTAAAGAAAAAGGTAGGGTTAAAAAAAAATAAATCACTTTCATAGTTAATGCTGTTGGCATAAAGTTAGATTCCAGTTGATGGTGTTTTCTTTTAATAGCTCCGCTTAAGTGAAATGCAAATCTGTGGAATTAATGGAAACTGCAAGAAGGGTTCTGGGTTATGAATGCAGTTTTGTGGGTGGTAGGCACCATTTGATGTCGTTATGAGGTTGTGATAGGTAATTCTGAGTTAAAATTCTGTCACAGCTACAAATAGCAATTTATAAATCAGCACTAAGTTTGATGTAACTGTACCAGAGAAGTTTATTTTACTAGACTTTTGCACTTCATTAAAAAATGTCCACTTTTTAAAACTGATCGGGTCATCTCTTAATTGGTAGCATAAGGCATTAAAATATTTGCTAGTTTTGTATAGGTCAGAAGACCTATTTTGTCATTTCCTAGTTTTACATGTCTTTTCTCAAAGATCCTGTTGAGATTTATTTATTTATTTATTTATTTTTTCCCTGACAGATCTCCTGAAGGGCACTTAGAAGACAGGGGGACAAATGTTATCAAAATTACTTGAGAATGACATGCTGTAATTTAATAGCAGAGGATTTTTGAAATACAAGATTTGTTACTCTTTTGGCCATATTATTGACCTGATTTTTGGAATGACGTTTTGTGCTAAGGCCATTGGTATTATGATATTAGATGATTGCTTCTGACTTCTTTTATCAATATTTTTGTTTGCTTGTTTTTGTTAGACCTGTTCTGACTTGAGATTTAGCAGACCAGTAGAAAAATTTTTGTTTTTGTTATCTGCAGTTTTCAGAAGTTTCACTGATTTTATGGCTATACAGGTATAATGCAGTTGTTCTCATGAGATGGAACTTGACCTTGCTCGGATATATTGTCATTGGCTTGGATTGAGGATTAACATTGTAGATTACTTGTCTTTTTAAACTGAGGTATTTAGGGCATCTTTAGAAACTATCACTTTATTCCTCCTGTTTTGAAATGTGTTTTACCAGAACGCACAACATATGTACAGCAGAAATCCCAGCTGTGGTTAGGCACTTGGATCCACATTTATCTTCCCACATTGTGTGTTTTATGACAAGAGGGAGAAGTGGAAAGCTGACAGAGTGATAATATTCTGACATAGTAATTCTATGGGCTATATATCATGTCAGTGTACCATATATTACAGCAGCCTTACACACTGTATGTGTCACAGCTGGCCATAGCAGTGGGGGAAGGGAACTATGATTGCATCAGTTAGCTCCTCCTTTAAATCCATGTGAGCAACAAAGTTTTTATTTGGATCCTACTGAAAAAATAATGTGGAAAAAGGAGAAATCAATATTGAAAATTCCTTGCTTTTCACTCTTCGTAGTTCCTTTGGTAACTGCTCAATGTCAATTGGGTGAAATTCCTTGATGCTTACCTCTCCCTTACCACTTTAGATTCTAAAAGTGCAAGTCACTGCTTTATTGCACTTAATCCGTACTTAATCAAGCTATTCAAGTTGTACTCTGAATGTAATCAGAAAGAGAAAAGCATTTTAATTTTAATCTTAACATCTATAGCATAGTCTACCTTCTCCAGCTGTATTTCACTTGCATAAGAAACAGTATCTAGAAGATACTAGGGATATCTTGGGATTCTTTCCTTTAATAACATGAAAAAAAAATAATCTTGCTTCCTTTCTTCTCTCATCTGCTTGCTTTTACAAGTCAAAGTTTAAAAACAGGTTAAATTTGTGGTGAAGGAGATGAAGAAAAAGATGGGCTGGAATGCTAATATGCACAAGCATCACAGCTTTCAATATGCTATTCTGGATTGTTCTGATGTAAAAGTTACCCTTTCTTCCAGAAGTAAAATTATGCATGAGATAAGTATATTCAATATTTTCCCTAAGCTGTCGGCTTTACTTATCATAACCACACAGTGCCTGTCAGAACTGTGCCCTGTCCGCAGGCTACTACAGGCAAGGAGGATGCCTCAGTAATACCAGAGGTGATTTTCAACTTTTTTTCAATTTGCAGACCACTAAAAATTTTCCAGTGGAAGTATGGAGATTTCCATATTAATGTTTAACTTGTTGTCAGTGGGCCTTGCTTTCTTAACTATGTTTAGTAGACCACTTGCAAGTCATTGGCATGTTACAAATTGAAACTTACTGTTGTAAAATTTTTACATCAAAATTTTGGATTCAAAATGAGAATCCATTTTAATATTCACATGGTTGACTTGTGGTTTGTGGATGTGTAGCAGCTTTCTTAAAATTTTTGGAAGAAAACCAAACCTCTCTTTGCAGAGTCATTTTTTTTTATTAAAATGTTGATGTTCAGATTGGTGAAGTTGAGGCTTTGGAATGAATTTGTTTTGGAATTTGGAATGAATGGTGTAATAAATTGGCACACATATTCATAACGTATGTAAATTTTGTTCTGTAATGGAAATTTAGAGGGTGGTTTGGAAATAAAGGAATAATCACCTGAGCTGCTGATGTAATGGGAAACACAGTATTATGATGCCTTTGAAGAGAGAGTTTTGAAATATCTAATAAAATACAAATGTCATCTCACAAAACCTACAATGAGGCAAAATGTTGTGATCACACATGCTCAAGAAGAAATAAGTGAAATTGGACTAGGTGCCAAGAAGAGCTAACAGGATGGTCTGAAGTGAGCTTTCCTTGCCCTAGAGATATGGGAGATCCATTTTTTTATTTTTTTTTTTTCTTCCAAGTGAGGTGAAAGCTATAGACACCATCTGTGGCTTAGGGAGAGGATCCATAGATGGGGAGCAGAACCTGGTGATAAAAAACATTGTTGCACAAGAACAACTGAATATCTACTGCCCCTGAATAAAGTTTCCTACAGAAATTTACAAAATGTTTTCCTGTTAGAACAAGTGGATTCTGAAGCACTCTGTGGCAGCAGAGAGGGATAGAGAAGCACTACAGAAGTTTTGAGATAAAGTTTTTCTATTTTACAGAGGGAATTATATGTTTAGCAGCAGAATAGGCCCAGGGAAATTGTTGCATTTAACTTCTGTCAAAGCTTTAAATTTCATGGCATGTAATGTGCCAATCCAGTTCCCATTCAGTCTGTTTAAAATGCAGCTTCAGAAATCCTTTCTTTTTTTTTTTTTTTTTTTTGGCTCTTGCCAATATTTAACCCCCTCAAGTAATTTCTCCTCTTCTACATTAATTTAAGCTGCTTGTTTGTGCCTGAATAGGCTAAAGCCATATTGTGTGCAGCCTAGCTCTATCTTCTTTTTCCCTTTGCCTTTCCTCCAGCAGCCCTCAAGTCAAGAGGGAGATGAATGTCTCCTGCTTTTTCACTCCTCACACTGTGCTTGAGATGGGCTCCCCCTCTTTGTGACCTGATGCGCTCTCATCAGTTCCTCCTGAAAATGCAAAATACTAAAAATGCTTTCCAATCAGAATCCTTTTATAAGATGAACATTAATAAAATAGATAGTGTAGATGTTTTAAGACATTCTTCTCATCAATAGCAGTTAGTAAAGTGTTCCCAGTAGTTTGTGGAGCTGAACGCTGATATCTATAGAGAATTTTAAAAGGAAAGTCCAGACAAGCTTAGAAGAGTGTTAACGTGCATAACAAAATATCTTTTTCTTTTCTTTTTTCTTTTCTTTTTTTTTTTTTTTTTTTTTTTGTGGCATGCTAGGATCTTCAGCAAAACTGATTGCATTTCAGGTTATAGCACAAGCTGTCAACATTTGGCTTTCAACTGTTCATTAGATATAGAATCATAGAATGGCTCAGGTTGGAAGGGACCTCAAAGATCACCCAGTTCTACCCTCACTGCCATGGGGTATATATACCTTCCACCAGACCAGGTTGCCCAGAGCCCCATCCGGCCTGGCGTTGAACATGTCCAGGGATGGGGTATCCACAGCTTCTCTGGGCAACCTTTTCCACTGCTTCAGCACCCTCTGAGTGAAGAATTTCTTCCTTGTAGTATAAAACCATTACAGCCTGTCTACTGTTGCACTATGATTCCTGGGAGAGTCCCTCCCCGTCTTTCCTGTAGGCCCACGTTAAGGTGGGCCTAAGTTAAATGGTTAAGGCCACTGTAAGGTCTCCCTGAAGCTACCTTCTCTCCTGAACAACTCCGACTCTCTCACGCTGTCTTCATAGGAGAGGTGCCCCAGCCCTCTGATCACCCTTGTGGCCCTCTGGCCTCACTCCAACAGGCCCACATCTTTCTTATGCTGGGGGCCCAGAG